TCGCAGCTATTGAAACTGCAATGCATGGTCAACAAACAGGATTTTTTATCTCCTTCCTGAATGCTTCCACGTTTTGGATTTCTCTTAGTCTGGTAGACCGCCCGTTCCATATGTCTAAGAATATAACTAAGCAAAAAGGAGATCGTAGCCTTTTCATCGCTCAAAGCGTAGTAATAGAGTGATTCGTGTTTCAGCGGTAAGATTGATGCGTTGGTTATTTTAAGACACCTGATAATACTTCAGATTTAATGTATTAGTTTATGTAAGAAGCAAAGTTTAAGGATGAGGTGTCTTTTCCAAAGGGGCTAAAGTTTATCGTGTTCGCACCTTTGTCAATAAATCGCAGCTTGCTGTGACCAAATCAAAAGCTTCTTAAAGCGCCCCTGAGCCTTTTCCAGAAGAAGTCGGCCAGGCCTCCGCAGTTCGATGCAGAGAAAGGTGCAGTATTTCAGACTTCGGCGGACGCGGCTCATAAAATGTTCAAGCCACGCATCTGCGGTTTTCCTGTAACAACATATTGTAGCGGTAATCCCCTCACTCATGCTACTTGATAATGAATTTGCTCTGCAAAATTTAGGCTCATGGAGTAGTGCAAACCGAGAGCTGTTGTCATCGTATTCTGTTGGAGAGTGATGCCGTTTAATATTAGCGAAACAGTAGGTAAAATTTGTTTGTAGGTCTGGACTTCAGAGTTTTGGGCGGAGTAGGTCATTTGCTAGTATTTGCACCGCGTTTCAATAATGTAACATGCTCAAAGCTTCTAACATTTGCGGATGTTGTATTATGAGTAGGGAAGACGTAAATAACATTTACCTCAGCAGCGATGATGAAGGAGCAACCGTGCTGCGGGCACTTACAGAGGTCACTTATTAAACTCAAAAATAGGGTAGGAGCAAAAGCGCTCTCCTGCCCGACGCCAATACGGACGGAGGTCGGGGTGGATACAGCTTGCACAATCTTAACAGGCTGTGTGCGACCTAGTAGAATGGAACCTAGCCAGTCGAATAGTACCTTCTCTTCCTTGTATGCTTTTGCCTTATGCGTCAGGCGCATGCGCAATACCTCGTCAAACGCCTTTGCACATCAAGGGAAGGAATGGCAACGGAAAGACTAGCGTCAATGACCTTGTTAAGCATATTGATGAAGTCCAGCCGGCAGGATACACAATATCAGAACTTAGGAATCCGCTCTGTGATTCATTTATGTGCCCGCTGGCACAAAAGTAACTCATAACGGCTCGTTTGTTCAACTTCTCCATGACCCGCAAACTAATATTGGTGTAGTTAGTGGGGCGATAGTTCTCAACTTCCTGTAGGCTACTACTCTTAAACCGTAGCATAACGCTAGAACATTTTTAAGCATTCGGGTATTGAGCTTACTGCACTGAGAAAGTAAAGAGTTTCAAAGGAAGAATTGAGATATCTTCACCACTATTCTTAATTAGAATGGACGGCCTTCCGTTTGGACCAGGGTTCGAAGAGGACTTGATGGTACGAATCGCAAAACGAATATTATTTAGCTCTAACTGTACCGAAGACAAAGAATTGAAACCGGGCACTTGCAGCGTCTGAAATGTTGAACATATTTCTAGACACTGCGATTCCTTAAAGCATGAGATGAAGGCATTTCATACACTCCTTGCGTTACTGGAATTGCCGTTGGGGCTAGGTTCTGGGTAGAGACCTGTCGTCTGATTATGGTCCGACAGCGCCGCAGCCAGCTGGGTTTCTTAGCTTTATTCGCACGCTTTAGCGACGCTGTTTCTTGGTTGTTGCTATTCTGCATAAATCTGGAAGAAAGTTTGTTCGCAACCTGGTTCTTTCTCAGGTGAGCAAAATTAAGGGTTTTGTTGCGGGATCGTTTAAGTTGACGCACGCTGTTTTAAATATTGGGTTGAGTTACTCTTGTAGATACATGTCTTATTAAATGGTACATGGTTGTTAGCCAGTCGGGAGATGAATTATTTCTTTATAAAACAGTTAAGCCGGCTGATCCACAGTAGCAACAACAAAGAAGTAATCCCGATTTCGTGTTCCGACGAGTACTGCAAAGTTGTCCAGTTAACAATGTATATCGATAGGTAGACTACGACCGCATCTGTTTCTTTGGGATAGGCATTATGTCGTTTTAATTAGAGCGAGCTATGCACGACTCTGTGGTTACTACATGCAGCTTCTGGTCAAATGACACCAGCGTGGATTGAAGGCCAATCGTACCTATGAAGTCAAGATATATTGCTCCTTGGCTATAGCATTGAAAATGAGTAGATCTGGTTGCTCAGTTGGTGGTTGAACGTTTGCTGAGCTTGGCAATTTTGTTGTAAACGGTTTGTTACATGTCGTGGTGACATCATCAGTGAGTAGTTGGATGGCATGCGGTGGCGGGAGGAGCTTAGAGGAGCCTCGGCCATGGTGCACATTGTTTGGTGGGCGTGCGTTTTATACCACCCTGGTTGTCCGTGGAGACGAGCAATGCTATTGGCTGGGACGTCGATTCGCGTTTAGCTGGTTAATGGGTAGATGAATTTTGAACTATACACCTCGTGTTTCGTGGCCTTTGTCTGCTTGCTTTTTTGAGCGAATCTGTCGTCAGTCACGGTTGTCTGCTTCAAGCAATTCAGGCGATCGAGTTGTCGGTCGGTCGCTCGCCAGTAGCGTTGCGTATATTGCGTCCAGTCCGATTTATCGATTGCTTGAATCCCTTGTAGAGCACCAAGCTTTCAAATACTCTCTCACGTGTGTTGTACTTCCATGTACATTTACATTCTCTAGATCGAAATGGTGATCTTCTTGATCATCATGCGCAGAAACAAATGAGTGCGCATCATGTCTTCTGACGGCCGTCTTTTGTTTGGTGATTCGTGTGCCAAGCTCTCTTCCAGTTTGTCCGACTTAGTTTTTATCGCAGTCGCTGCATTTTATCTGGAAGATGACATTGCCTTGGTCGTCTTGGTTGACATTTTCTTTGGGTCTCCAGACCAATTTTCTTGGGGTGGCAATTGGTTTGTGGGCCACAGAGATGTCAAATAACTGCAGCAAACTTCCTGTGAGTTCGGAAACGTTCTTGATGTAGGGGAGCACTATCCGTTTGTTTGCTTGCTCTGGTGACTGCCGCTGCTAAGACATTCGTTTCTTTAAGCTTATGATAAAATTTCTCGGATAACCGTTGTTCCTAAACACTTTATATAGGTGATTTGCTTCCTGTTTCCGCTACCCGGCTGCGCTATAGTGCGCTTCCGCTCTACTTAACAGGGCTTAAATATAGTTCTTCTTGCGATTCATCGGATGATTGCCGTGGTAGTTTAATATCTGGTCCGTATGCTTTTTCTCTTTATATACGCACATTTGCAGTGGTCCGCCGGTATTCCCAGTGACCAGTACATCCACAAATGGCAACTTGTTGCCATCCTCTAATTCAACCGTAAAGTTGCTATCCTCGAATTCGAGGATCGTGATAAATTTAAGGCATGTGTAGGCCGCATAGACAGTGTGGCTGAATGTCCAGGTGTGTTCCATCCAAAAGCCGGTTTAACACTAGGCGCCCTCGTAGTGTTAGGCCCGGTGACTTCTAAACGGCCACATGTCGCTCGTCGCTTTTTTAGGGCAATGCTGGGCACTCACTGACGAAAAGGTTTTGTGGTTAGGATTCGTCGCATCCCAACTTATGCTTCGTTGCACAGGCACAGAAGTAAACTGGTGTAGCATTGTTGCACTGTGAAGTGGTTCATGGTTAGCTAGGAGAGTACGCAATACTGCCTGATCTTTTATAATCACTTTAATAGGAGCCACAAATTCGGTTACACGCTTGGTCAGTCTTTGAACCTGCAGTGCATGCTCTGCAATGCCATTAACTTAGACTACTACACGATTTAGTGCGTATACCGACATAGTAGCTGAATCATTGAGCACTAGTGTGTTACATCATCCATCCTAACGCGCAGGGTTTCATATTGCTAGGGTCACCGCTTTTCTTATTTCAAATTTGGTGGTGGTGTCGCCAGCGACTCAGGTGGACTCTATGGTGTAGTCCATACATCGAGTCTTTTGGCTCGAGGTGCTTGCGGCATCCTTCTCAGAATGGAGGTTGTTCTCCGCTCGCTACGACCCTCTTAGAATCCCTACTATGTTCGTGTTAGCAAAGCAAGTTAATGTCGTTGTACAATCTCGTTAACAATTAGCTTTCCCGGTTTAGCGGGTCCAGTGGTATCAGCAACTGAGCACGTATTATTAACTGAGACCTCTTCTGAAGTGTTTGCATTTTGGCTGAATATATCCCGCTATTATAGCTTTATGGATATTACTGATCCTAGGATTTGCAAATTATTCCAAGGAAATGAGCTCTCTAGTTTCCATGTCAGACCAGGTATCTAGGTCCATGGTAGGGACGTCATTTATTGTCACAGGCACCGGACAGTCGTCCCATTTTGTCTTAATACATCTAGTCTTTGCAAACTGCCTGTGATAATTGTACAAACGATACTCAGTGAGTGTTTATTGTTAAACTTTTCACCTGTTTTGATGTAGAATACACACCCGCGAACTTCGAATTCCAATTCTGGTGTTCTTATTCCGAGTTGTGACTAGTTTGGGTGGAGTTCAATTATTTTCCGATTCAGAACACCATAATTGGCGTCGCAGTCAACGTTTATTTCCAAATGAATACAACCATCGAATTCTTAAACGTAAATGCATCTCCACGGGAGTTAAAAGAATACATGGAGAGATTCGAGTTATGGTGGCTCACCAAAGATGACCTTCGCGAAGACCTTAAATCTGCCCACTTTTTAACTGTTATTGGACGAGAGGCGTATACGCTTCTAAAAATTCTGGCATACCCACAGCTGCCATCGAAATTACCATATGACAAGTTGTGGGACCTCCTTTTATCTCACTTACTACCGGAAAATTTCGTGGTTGCCGAAAGAGTAACATTCAACTTGCTGATCTGTCAACCTAATCAGTCTATTCGTGATTTTATTCTCCAACTTCAATCTCAAGCATCATCTTGTGCATTTGGAGACAAACTTGACGAATGCCTCAGAGATCGCCTAATTGCTGGAATAAATAATCCCGTGGCAAATGAACTCTTTCAAACCACACGGAATCAGTCTATCTCATGCACCGAGAAATTCAGACAGTTTAAAGTGTGGTCAAGCTGATAGAAAGATTGGACAATGTGTCTCTTGTGGAAAGTTGCATTCACGGAATACCTGCCCGCATCGGAATTCCAAGTGTCATCATTGTGGGAAAGTTGGACATATTCGTATTGTTTGTCGCCAGTTCAGACGTTGTAATGTTGTGAAACAAGTTGATGATTCCACAGAGAACTTGCCCGACGATTTTCATCCGCTGACATTGGCTGTGAATACGAGTGGCCATTTATACAACACTTTACGTTTCGGAAATGGTATGTCACATCGTTTCATTGTTGACACCAGTAGCGTAGAGTCTCTTATTTCTAAAACGAGTCTCGATCATCTGTAGCCTGACGCTCAGCTTGATTCTACACTCATCACTATTAAAGGTATTACTGGTCATACCATTCCGGTGATAGGATGTTGTACCTTACCAGTGCTAGATAAGCATTTGAAACCTGTCGAGTGTAAATTTGTTGTCATTCGTCAAGGCCCGTCCATACTCGGTCTTAAAGTTATGCAGGCACTTAAAATAAGTGTCAATTTTCTGTCACATACTGACACTGACACCCAAATTCGTGATTTATTACACGATTGTTCGGTTACCTCTGGTGGAATGAGAATTCCGCCTGTTAAGTTGGAAGTGGCCGGTGATCCAGTTTTCTGTAAACGACGTGTACTTCCATTTGGACTTAGAGAACCTGTTCGAAAGGTAAATATGTCTCTTTGTGAATCAGGAATTCTCGTCCCAGTACAAAGTTCACGATGGTCCACACCTATTGTCACACCGTTAAAGTCGGATGGACAGACACCGAGAGTTTGTGGTGATTACCGTGTCACTCTTAATACGAAGCTGCTGCAGCGTAGTTGTGTCACGGAAGAACCTGATTCTATTCTCTCGTCTGCACGGATGCAAGATTTTCTCGAAGCTAGACTTAAAAGATGCATATCTGCGGATACCACTGACTGATGAGTCTAGTGAACTGACCACAATCAATACACCTTTTGGGTTGCATCGCTATAGATTTCTTCCCTTTGGTCTTAATGTGTCGCCAGCCATATTGCAAGATGTGATGAACTCCATTGTGAAAGATCCCAAGGGTGTTGAGGTCTATCAAGAAGATGTTTTTGTACATGCTATTAACAAACCGACACATGACAACCGATTACTGGCACTTTTGACTCGCTTCAAGGATGCTACTGTGAATATCAATCCTAAGAAGTGCTTAATTGGTGTCCCTGAAATCAGTTGTCTTGGTTATCAGATTACATCTGAAGGATTCAAACCAGATCCTGATCGGCTAAAACCATTGGTTGATGCGAAGTCCCCCACCAATGTTCATGAGCTTCGATCACTGATGGGCGCTTTACAGTACTATTCCAAATTCATTCCTGGTTTTGCATCCATTGCTGATCCTTTATTCACCCTGTTTAATGACAAGAGTTTTGTTTGGTTAGACAAACATGAACATGTTCTTCGGAAGCTTTTAAAGATTCTTGCATCTGGTTGTGTTCTTCACACCTTTTCTCCTAAATTACCTACTGTGCTTTTCACAGACGCTTCACCCACTGGTATTGGGGCTGTGTTAGAGCAGAATGGACGCCCCGTTCTGTGTATTTCCCGTCGACTAAGCAATGCTGAAAAAGGATATGCTCAGACTCATCGAGATGCCTTGGCTGTATACTGGGCAGTCACTAGACTTCACAAATACTTGTTTGGCCTCAGATTTACCATTGTGACGGATAATGTAGCTCTGAAGTTCATTTACAATCCTTCCAGTTCTTTAGCTAAGTCTTCAGCAGCCATGGTCCAAAGGTGGAGTGTTGCCCTTAGTGCGTATAACTATGTGGTCGAGCACAGAAGTGCGAAGCTCATTGCTCACGTCGGCTACTTATCCCATACTGCAACGATATTTGAAACCGATTCTGAAATGAGTTGTTTACTCACCCAGCCGCTTCCAATCTCTCGTTCTGCCCTTAGCAATGATACTAGAAGGTATTATGGGTCATTAATTTCTGCTGTCAAACGTGGTTGGTCGGTTTCTCTCAAACGGAAGTTCCCACAATTTTATGTGCGTAGTGTTGAATTGCGTGTTACTCCTGATAGATTACTATGTGTAAATGACCGCATTGTTGTCCCACCGACTTCGAGATCAGCTAATCTAACGGATTTACATTCCGGTCATCTTGGTGTTGAAAAGATGAAGTCTTTAGCTCGGTGTTTGTGCTGGTGGCCTGAATTAAATGCAGATATTCGACGAACTGCTTCTGATTGCCCGAACTGTAAACACAAAATTTTGCGGCAACCGTCAAAGTGGACCTCATGGCCGATGACATGCGAGCCCTGGCAAAGGGTACATATGGATTATTGTGGACCATTTCTGCAGAAGTACCATGCTGTTGTGGTGGTGGATTCTTATTCAAAGTGACCGGAGGTATTCCTGACTGATAAACCAAATTCTGCTTTTACTGTCTGTGCCTTGAGAAAAGTGTTTAGTAGAGAAGGAGTCCCATTAGCTGTGGTAAGTGACAATGGTTCGCACTTTTCGGCTTCAGAGGTTACTAATTGGCTACAGAGCCTTGGGTGTCGCCATCTTTTTACCGATCCACGACATCCATGTTCTAATGGCCTAGCGGAAAACTTGGTTGCAACCTTAAAACGTTCTATTACCTCCTGTGCTCCTACTTCTTTTGCTGAACTTGATCGTTATGTTGATAACTTCCTTCTTCAATACCGTAATTGCGTGCATTCCTCTACTGGAGGTACACCTGCCAAACTTTGTAAATCCAGACCATTGAGGTCAAACATGCTTGGCTTGGGGACTGCTGAAATATCTTATTTCAGAGGCAATGCTTTACGTCCCTCATCTGGTATCATTGTTAACAACATTGGAAACCGCATGGTTAGAATTTTTAATCTCGATGATTGTTCTGTACACAGACAGCATGTTGATTAGATACGATACAAGGATTCCGGTCGGTTGTCATTCGATTCAGTGTTCACTGAAAATACTAATGTCGATTCAGTTTCAGATCCTCATGAGTATTCTGAGCAAAACCAGCCTCCAAGAAGATCTGCAAGATTGCAACAGAAACCTGGAGTTGCATTCAAGCTGCGGAGGATGTGAAAATTGTACAAACAATACTCAGTGATTGTTTATTGTTATTCTTTTCACCTTTTTGATGTAGAATACACACCCGCGAAATCCGAATTCCAATTCTGGTGTTCTTATTCCGAGCCGTGACTAGTTTTGGTGAAGTTCAATTATTTTCTGATTCAGAATATCATGCTGCCCACTTAGGTTGTTGTAACGGCGTTGCTAATCCTTTCCTGCTGGTACTAACTTTAAGTCAACGAAGGTCGTGCGTGATGTTAATTATCTTTAGTAGGAGAGGAATTGAGAGCCGATCTCTTAACATGGAATTTGACTAAAAGGGGAATTGGTTTTACGCAACCCATTTCTCAGTCTTGTGCAACTCAGCAGACTGTATTCCTAGCCACCCATGTTCATAACCATTTTGCGAATGGTTGGCAATTGCAGGCCAACTGGCGCATTATACAGCAATACCTCATTAAGAGGTGTTAGCGGATTCATCACTTCTGTGCAAATTGTGTTGAGGCACACCCCAACCGACTCCGCAAGTTTAATCTCCATACGTCCTTGGGAGGAATCATAGTCGCTATGGCCGCCAGTCTAGTATTAAGTGGTTCTAATGTATTAATGGGCATTTTGCTCTGCACCATGTTATTTGAAGCTCAGCCATTTGGGAATTCAAAGCAAGGATGTCCGTCACGTTAACGGTGCTTAAACCTCATTCGCGAAACCGAGGCCCAGTTTTATTAGCAAGCTTCATGTTTGGGTGAAGTTGCATACCACAGATGGCTTTCTACAACTGATTGACATAGTGGAGAATGTGTCCCAGCTAGAATGTGACGCGTTTGGGATTGGTTTAGCCTACTTGGCTTTCGTTTCTTTCCTTATTTGTAAGTTGATACCCGTAGACATGGACCAGCAAGTTGCGTCCTCGCTAGATACGGATGCGTAGGACATTTTTCCAGAACAGGTTTTGCATGCATCAGCCGTAGTCGGATTGGAATAGGTGGCAGCAGAAAGTTTCTTTTGTCTTTCGCTAGGTGTGGATGGTCCAGCTTCGATGGGAAAGCGGTAGACGGTGGTATGTTTTACGCAGATCGCGTGATGTTTGCAAGCACAGCACCGTGTGGACATACTGGTAGTATCCCATTCATGGGACGTCTGCAGCTTGAGATAGCGCAGCAAGGGACACCGGCAAAATTGGGTACTGGTGTGTTGGTACGTTGAAGACGTTAATAAATATCAACGTCGAGGTCATCGCAGGCTATATGCAGCCCACCATCACAATGAGAGCACCGAAGGGTTTTTGAGCCAGAAGTGAGTTCTTTGGCGCAGTCCAGACACTGAGTTCATGATGGTACAGTTCAGAGATTCTGCAACTAACTTAAACACAACGAAATCTAACAGCTTCCCTTCACCAGAAATACCAATAAAACGGAACACTGTAACGGAGTTTGTTGTCCACAGGACAAAGCAGAAGAAAGCACTAAATGCGGAGCCTTGCACTTTTAGAGCTGCCAATGCAGCTGCAACCTTCCCGTGCAAAGAGAGGAGGTCAAAAGTGGTACCTGTATCGAAGTACAAATCGAAAACCAGTAATCAGTACTTCGTTTGAAATCTTGTATCGACTTTGTAACAAGAGTATGACTGCGCAACCGGTTCCAAAAATGTAGCATAGGATGGTTGGATAGTAGAGAGCGAGGACGAGCTCCTTATTCAGTTACATTCCTCCTGTTCATAGCGAAAACGATTTGGTCTTCGCGTAACGGGGCTGCGAATAGAGCCGTCAAACTCGCAATGGAATCAGTAGTATCCCGTCATAATCAATAAGTAAGCATCCATGCTCACTTTTACACATTCCTTCGTCTGTGCTTCCAAGACAAGCTACGGCCCGCGCTTCTAGTCCTTAACTACAGAGCTAGAGCAAGAATGGCCTGCATTCGAAGCCTTCTGGGTTTGAATGCTCCTTAGTTGGGACCTCTTAGCGAAGTTCCAGAGCCGCGATGGAAGTACGCCTGCAGCTCTACCCTAGCCTTCCTCAAAGGATAGGTCGAGTAGAAATTATATCTTCACGGCGGCGAGCGCAATCGAGTAAGATGAAATTAAAGTGTCAGTGTCGAAGAGAATATGGATATTCACGGAAATCAAACATGAAAATAAAACTGAAACATTGGACTTTCACAATCATGCTAACTGCAAAAGTGAGGAGAGGATATTAGGCAGAAAAATCGTAGTAAAAGACCGGACGTAGGTGAGACAAGAACAGGAGTCGGAAATGCACCGGAGAAAGGCGGCTGAGCGTCCTTCGTGTGGCTTGAATTGTAGCAGTCTGAAAGTCCTCTCAGGTTGCCCGCGTACGTTACGGAAAGTGGTAAATAAACGTACGAGCTTATTGTACAGTTAGAGGCTGTATGTAGTATGCTGATATATGTGCCGTAATTTTGTGTCTGGCTC